AACTACACTAACTACCACCTCAAGTATTAGTCTCTAGCCCGTGTCTCCCTCAAGTGTTAGGAATTACACCCTCTCTCTAGACATTATCACCTACATCACTCCTCTTAGGATGATCCCGTTTCTCACCACACACTTCTCTTGGTGTACTAGTGTAATACAAAGTGAACCTCACAATTAAGCTCTACAGCACAAATAAATTATTCTCTACAATGGATGAGAACACAATATAAGCTCACTCTCAATATCATAATCCCACAATCCCAAATTATACTATGTATGCAAATACAATAAGCTCAAGTGGGTGTGTGTAACAAAGAGATTAAATAAACAAACAAAACTCAATATAAATCTAGCTTATGAAAATTATAAACAAAACAATAAATAGCTAGAACGAGTTTAGAAAAACTTCTCTATGATGACAAGAGAGAGAGGGAGATGAGTTGAATGTCCAAACACAATTGATGATCTCCTCAAGCCCTTGTGAAAATTTCTTCACACAACAAATTTTGTAAATACTCTTTTAAACAAACACAAAACACCCTTAAACTTGTTTAAACAATTCTCTTGGATGGTTTAGAAGTATGAGGGCATGGGGTATTTATAGGCTTATGAAACAATCCCAAAAACCATTAAAAATCCAAGAAAAATAATAAAAAGATAAAATTTGGAAAACTAGCTGTTATAGGCTAAAAACATATCATCAGTCAACTAATGAAGTTGACCGTTGAACAGTTTTGGCAGATTCTGGAATTTTACGTATCTGGTTTTATAAAATCAATTTAAAATAGTACATCAACTCCAAAAATTATGCAATTTTTAGTTATATTTATAAATATATAAATAAACATGTTAAAAAAGGAATTTCTTAAATATCCCTTCTCATTTGTGAGAGATAATTATTTAAACACAGATATTATAGTTTCTAAAAACTGCTGACATACATGATTTTGTAAAATCAATTTGACACCTTAAATCAACTCCAAAAAGATAAAATTTTGGAAAATGGTTATAAACATGTAATAGAATATGTTAGAAAAATAATTTTTTAAATTACATCTCTTATTTGTTAAAACTCATCTGTTTTGTAAAAACATGCACGAACATGAACTTTAAACATACACGAACAAAAACTTGATTTTGTAAATTTAATTAAACATAACAAATCAATTCCAAACTTAATAAAACTTTGGAAAATGTTTGTAAATATGATTTTGAACATGTTACAAAAAATAATTTTCCAATTTACATTCCCCAATTATGAAATCTTATCATTTTGCAAAATCACATAAATATGAACTTGTAAAAACTTGATTTTGACAAAATGAGTTTAAACAAAGTTTTAAAATATTTTCAATAGATTTATAGACCTGATAAAAGATATAAAATAATATCGTTAAGTCTATAAACCAAAACAGCGATAAATAAAACCAAATGTGTGTGTGTGATATTGAGCTCTAAGTATTAATACACAAGTATAAACCCTAAACTATTTACCCAAGCTTGGAATCTTTAATTTGCTCGTCTTGGTACATTTGCGGATAAAGTTTGAACTTGGATCTTAAACTTAAATTGCATAGGCTTCAACCATTATTCCGTCAATCTCCATTGGATATGATCGTGAATGCTCGATTCCATCCATCCTTCAACATATTGTTTGTCTAGAATAAATACAAAACACAAATACTAGACAAATAACATTAGATGTAAATTATTTGTAAATTATCATCAAAACAAAAGGACTCAACATGAGGAAATAAAGTCTATGAAGGACAATAACGTTTGGGATCTTATCCCGTTGCCTAAATGTGCGAAGCCAATTGGTTGTAAATGGATATTTAAAATCAAGAGGGACTCGAAAGGCAATGTGAAGAGGTACAAAGCTCGCCTTGTCGCTAAAGGCTTTTACACAGAAAGAATGCATTGATTATAAAGAGACTTTCTCTCCGGTTTCATCAAAAGACTCTTTCAAGACAATAATGACACTTGTGGTACATTTTGACTTTGAGCTACATCAGATGGGTGTAAAGACTGTGTTTCTCTATGGCGACATTGATGAAATAATTTATATGGTGCAGCCAGAAAATATTATGTCGGGAGATGCAAAGAAGATGGTTTGCAAATTGAAGAAATCCATCTATGTGTTTAAGCAAGCTTCTCGTCAGTAGTATTATAAGTTTCATCAAGTTATCATCTCATTCAGTTTTGAGATGAATGTAGTCAATGATTGTATATACCACAAGTTCAGTGTGAGTAACTATATTTTCCTGGTTTTATGTGTCAATGATATATTGCTTGCCAACAATGATATAGGTTTATTGCATGAAACCAAGAGATTTCTCTCAAAGAAATTTGAGATGAAAGATCTTGGGGACGCCTCTTTTGTATTGGGCATACAGATACACCGAGATTGCTCTTGGAGTATACTTGGGTTATCACAAAAGAGCTATATCAAGAAGGTTCTTAAAAGGTTTGGCATGTAAAATTGTAAACTAGGCGACACCCCTATGGCTAAGGCAGATAAATTCAGTTTCAATCAATGCCCTAAGAATGATTTTGAGATTAAGGAGGTGCGACAGATTCCTTATGCGTCAACAGTAGAGAGTCTAATGTATGCTCAAGTGTGTACGCGTCCAGGTATTTCATACGTGGTTGGAATGTTGGTAGATACTTAAGTAATACTGGATTGGATCACTAGAAAGCAGCCAAGCGAGTCTTGAGGTATTTGCAGAGAACAAAAGAATACATGCTCACGTATCAGAGGTCAGACCAGTTAGAGATCATTGGGTATTCTGACTCCAATTTTGCTAAATGCCAAGATAGCATAAAATCTACTTCATGCTATATCTACCTACTTGCTGGAGGAGCTATCTCTTGGAAGAGTGCTAAGCAGACACTCATAACTTCATCCACCATGGCAACTGAGTTTGCAACATGCTATGAGACGTCTAATCATAGAATATGACTACGAAATTTTATCACTGGGCTACGAATTGTGGATGGCATTGAAATACCACTTAAATTATTTTGTGACAATAAATCAGCAGTGTTGTATTCCAACAATAACAGGAGCTCGACGAAGTCGAAACATATAGACATCAAGTTCCTAGTTGTTAAAGAAAGAGATCAAAGTGGACTTGTGTCTATAGAGCATATTGAAACAAACTTCATGATCATGGATCCGCTGACTAAGGGATTGCCACCAAAGTCTTTCATGAGCACACTGCTCATATGTGTGTTTTATTTCTTTAGGATACGTCATTTTAGTAGGAGTTTGTATTTTATATGCTTTTACTTGTAGACACATTTGTTATGATTTTATGAATATTATATGGTTATTTATCGCTATATAAAGTTTTCAATTCATATTCACTCTGATTTTCGGTATTATCTAACTGAGGTTTTAAGGTGGACCAGTTGGAAATGGGCATGTTAAGATCACACTACACTAAATTTTTATGCTACACATCCATACTTGATCTGTGTTATTGGTTGTATTGATATACTTGATCATTGATGGGTCTCGTTGCGATAAATGCAATAAAGATCACTTTGATCCTATGTTAATGTAAAAAATAAACGAGATTGATAAGGATGCATATTTTTTTATAGTAAAATTCATGAGCTCATAAGGTTATATCATAATTTATATTTATATAGTAACATATATGACCCAAGTGGGAGATTGTTGGATTTAAAATCCAATAAATGGCTAATATATTAAATAGATATGTACTATGTGCTATCAATCAAGGTTAGCCCATTAAAGTGATCTAATTTAGGATTTAGACTTTTAATGCATAATTAAAGTATGAGTTTCTTATGTGTAGAGACCAAAATATAATTGTTAAATTTTATGAATGACCGAATTAATAATTATGAATAATTGATTCAGTTATAAATAGGGTTGTGGTTCCCCAAATCTCTACGTAGAATCTCTTTCTGATTTCTCATCTTCAGAAGGATTAGAGTTTCTCTAAAGAGAATATATACGTACAAGATTTGTAAGATCTACATCTCAAAAACTCAATGATCACATCCTACTCCATGGATTTAGGTATGGTTCTACATCTTCTTAATCTAACACTGATTGCCAAAGATAGCTGAAGATGTGGATAACGAAACAAACTACCACCTGACAGTCGCACAAAATTTTGTAACATATGACCTGCATTAGTTAAGTTGATTGAGAATGTGTTACTGGTTTTTGCTCTTTGGCTTGTATTATGTCCGAGTCTTTTTTGGTAAGTTTACGTCTTACAATATCTACACTATATTCTTTCTTCATTCAGATCTTTAGTTAGTCTGGAAAAGTAGGCTTGTTCTCTTTGCTACATGATCTTAAACTACAGATTTTGTGGCAGGTGTCTTAACCTACTTGTGAGTTGTTCTTTTTAGGTCTATAAAGATCCTCTTTCTTCGTGAAGTTGTCTTATTCACATGTTTGCCAGCAAAGGATTGTGCATTACTAGCACAAAATTTGTCCATGGAATTCATATCTCCGAGAGATTATATAACTCGATTAAGATTAAGAGATTTGAGGGACTATTAGCAATTAGAAGTAGCAATTAGAGAGATTAATTTGAAACAAGTTATAAGAATTGAGGGACTATTAGCAATGTTCACTGACTTAGAGGACTAGTTTGAAAAAAACTTAAGAATTAGAGACCTACTAGCAATGTTAATGATTTCGGGACTAATTTCAAAGAATTAAGAGACTAATATCAAAAAACCCAAATCTATTTTACTAAACGGAGTAGAAACAACGATCAGGATTGTACATAGTGCGCAACGGCTGGATTAGAATGGCTTGTCCTGAAGTGGGAATACCTAAATTACACAAACATTTCAAAACAATTGACCCCGAATAAAAATAAATTTCAGGGGGTTATGTGCAACACCCCCGCAAATGTAGGGTCAGTTAAATACCCAAATCGATTTTGTGGGATTAACCCTAAAAACTAATCACGTATCCAAAATTTTCAAATATAGGGTCAGATGAATTGGTACAGATACAATCTGATTGATTTTTTATTTTATTTTTTCAAACTAAAACAAGATATAATGCTCGTCGGTCAGATTAAGAATGTAATGTATATTTTAAAAATGTTTCGGACTTCCATTTACCTATGGTCAAATTTATTTATCTCCATCGGATGTTATGCATCGTTTGTAGAAAGAGAGAAATCAAAGACTAGCTTGCTGGTTGTTGAGCCCGCCACGTCCACATCCCAAATCATCATGCTTCGAATCGATAACTTTCTTATTTTTGACTGATGTAAACAATTCCCACGTCCTCATTTGTAAACTTTCTCATGTCGGAATTGCATCTTTTATCTGTAGTCTCCCCCAAAATCATTAATCTCCATCTAAATTGTGTTGACATTCGGTACATCCTCAACACTTCTCATGATCTGTGTCAGCCCATCCAACAATATATAGATGATATTTGTCTCCTCGTGCTCACTCCCTCTTGCAATGAACACATGAACCTCCTTCATAACCTCAATCCAACTATACCCTGGTTCCTTTGACACCCCAACAGAATCCATCTCTTTTCTCAACTTATCAACACCTCCCCAAATTCCCTTTGAAGCATATATATTCGACATCAATACATAAGGTCCACTGTCCTGTGAATTAATCGATATCGCCTTTCTTGCAGCGTACTTTCCGATATCGACATTACCAAACACTCTACAGGCACTAAGTAAGCTTCTCCAAACAATCGCAGCAGGCTCAACTGGCATTCGCTTGATGAACTCCTTAGCTTCCTCCAATTTCCCAGCTCGGCCCAAGAGGTTAACTACCGAAGCATAATGCTCCATCCCTGGTTCAATACCAAATACCGGTTTCATAGAATTGAAGTGAGTCAATCCTTCTTCAATCAGCCCTACATGAACACAAGCAGAGAGAACACCAACAAATGTTACATAGTTTGGCCCTATTTCTTGTTCTCTCATCAGCTGAAAAACTCTGAGCGCTTCCTCTGATTGCCCATGTTGTGCATATCTTGAGATCATAGAGTTCCAACATACAGTATCTCTTCCATCAGTTGAGTTGAATACTACACGAGATTCTTGGATGCATCCACACTTTGCATACATGTCGATAAGTGAATTAGATATGAGGGGGTCATCATCTAGGCCACATTTTATAATTTGGTTATGAGATTGGAGGCCATGGAAGAGGCTTGCCAGCTCACTTGCTGCTGTAACAACCGCAACAAAAGTGAACGCATCTGGTCTCAAACCACAAATACGCAATTGATTGAAAAGCCTTAGGGCCTCTTCGCTTTGATCATTTCGTGTGTAACCAAATATCATAGCATTCCATACTACAATATCTTTCTCATCCATTGATTCAAACAAAACTCTCGCGTCATTAACAAAGTAACACTTTGAGTAGACGTCGACTAAAGCACTGCCTGCTTTAAGGTCTAATAAGATTCCTGATTTAATAATGAGACTATGCACTTGCCTGCTTAAATCCACGAATGATAATGATGCTGACATTCCGAGGAGGCTCACAAAGGTCAAGAGGCTCGGAGACAAGGTCTCAGATTTCCTCATCCTATTGAACAATGAAACAGCCTCGCCAACTTCTTCATGCCTTGCATGACCTTCAATCATGGCATTGTAACTAATGACATTGTGGTCTTCCATCAAATCAAACACAATTCTTGCATCGACCAAAGAGTCACATTTCGAATACATATCTATAAGTCCGTTTTTAACATAATCATCAGATTCTAGATTAGCTTTCACAACAAAGCAATGCACTTGTTTTCCCTGATCCAAAGCCAATAATGAACCACAGGAAGTTAATACACTTGTGCAAGCAAACGCATCGGGTTCCCATCCTATTCTGCTCATCTCAACATATAGATCTAAAGCTTCTTGATCCAGAGAATTTTGCATGTATCCTGATATCATAGTAGTCCAAGAAACAAGATTCTTAAGATTCATACAATCAAACACTCTTCTAGCAGTCCTCACTTCAGAGCACTTGCAATACAAATCTATAAGCCCATTGTTCACCGAAACATCCATCTGTGTCCCACTTCTATACGCATAACCATGAACTTGCCTTCCACATTCAAGAGACTCCAATGATGAACAAGCACTTAACACACTCGAAATAATAAACATATCAGGCGCAACTCCTGATTCCCTCATTTGATTGAGCAATCGAAGAGACTCGCTGCTCCTACCAGTTTGGGAATAACCCGCGATTATTGCAGTCCATGTGACCGAATTCTTTATAGGGAGCTCATCGAACACGGTCATTGCTTCTTCCATCAATCCGATTTTGCAATAACAGTTGATAAGAGAAGTACCCACAAAGATATCGGAACAATATCCCAATTTTTTGGCAAGCCCGTGAATTTGGAATGAGCGATTGACTACCCTTGACTCTTTACAAGCTTTAAGGGCACTAGCGAGGATGAACTCATTCGGGTTTTCTAAAGAAGACCTCCGGAAGTCCGAGAGGAGGGAGAAAGCCTCTTCAGATCGGTTCGATTGGGTGTACGCAGAGATCAACGAAGACCAAGAAATGATGTTTCTTTGGGGCATTTGATCGAACAGCTTGCGAGCTTCTCGAAGGCGGTCGGATATAGAGTAGGCTTTGAGGAGGAGATTGGTGAAGAAGAGGTCTGATGAGAGGCCGCAAGCGAGGGACTGGGCGTGGATTGGGTTCAGATGGAGGTGAAGGGATTGGTTTGAGATGCATGATTGAAGGAGATGATGAAGTCGAGTTTGGGGTTGGGATTTTGGGAGAAAACGGGAGGGAAGAGAGGGGATCGGCTTAAATTTCATGAGAGCGCGACGGCCAGTTCATTTAAGCCTCTCCGTGCTTGGATTGGTTATCGGCCCTCGAGTGGGTTGGGTCTTCGGTTACTCCAGCTCCCTGTTTTTGTTCAATTCAAACAGCCCATGTTGATCGAGGCCCAATGTAACCCAACGATCTACGGGGAGGCCTCTATTCAGAAAGTCGAATGAGGACGAAGGGCATCACAAGCAGCGTCCCAGTATCATTTAGCATTATTGAGCCATTCCCGGGTGCCAAAATAAAACTAATTTACCTGTGCCAAAATAAATTACTTGAATACGTTTGGTAAACACTTACATGAGATTAGACTAGTTGTTTTTAGTTAAAAAAATATGGTTCTCAACTAGGTTATCTCTCAACCATCCCTATCTTGATTCAATTTTAACCCGATTGAGACGTTAAGGGGGTGTTTGTTTCAACTTTTTTTAGGATATAGGGTGGATTACAAATTCTAGGATGAAAAAGTGGTTTTTTTTTTTTGAGTTTATGGATTCCATAACCTTTGTTTGATTGAAAATAAATTTTGGGATATTGAATACCCAAATAATAAAAAATTAATATATTATAGCATTTGTGAAATCCTCTCTTTGAGAGAGGATTTAGGCTAGAATTCAAATTCTAAAATTTGTAATGCTACAATTTGAGTTTGAAGCAAATAAAATACAAATTATAAAATTACATATCCTAAAATATTGATGAAACAAATAATATTTTAAAAATCCAACCTATGTTAAAAAAAAAACCTATGAATTTTAAATCCTATAGTAAAATACATATCCTAAAATTATAGGATTTGAAATAAACACCCCCTAACCACATTAATGTGAATAAATAAAATTAGGGAAAAATGCTTCCAGCCCCCAAAAGCTAAGGAAACATGCTTCCCACCCCCCAAGACTTTGTCAACGGGTGTTTTACCCCCAAAAATAAAGATTCTGTTCTCTGAGCCCCCAAAACACAAAACCCAAGACATTAAAATATGTGAAGACCATAATATCCTTCTCTCTCTCTTTCTTTTTTTATTACAATATGATGATGGTTATTTTATTATTTTTGTTTTCTCTTTCTCTTTATCATGAAGTATTGAGATGATAGTTGAAATGATTGATGATGATTATTTTATTATTTTCGTTTTTTATTATTTTGGTTGTTTGTATTAGGAGATTGTTAAAGTTACGGGTTAATTATTAAGGTTACGAATTAATTGTTAATGTTACGGGTCAATTGTTAAGGTTATGAATCCTCTCTCTCTCTCTCTCTTTTTTTTATTAAAATATGATGAGGATTATTTTATTATTTTCGTTTTCTCTCTCTCTTTATCATGAAGTATTTAGATGATAGTTAAAATGATTGATGAAGATTATTTTATTATTTTTGTTTTTTATTATTTTGGTTGTTTGTATTGGGAGATTGTTAAAGTTACAGGTTAATTGTTAAGGTTACGAATTAATTGTTAATGTTACGGGTCAATTGTTAAGGTTATGAATCCTCTCTCTCTCTCCTCTCTCTCTCTCTCTCACTCTTTCTCTCTTTCTATCATGATGTTTCTTTGATGATATTGAAATGATTAAAGAGGATTATTATTTTATTATTTTTGTTTTTTTTATTCTTTTTGTATTTTTAGAATATTCGTTGTTAAGGATAATGGTTGGTTGTAAAGGTTATGCATTGATTGTTAAGATTACGGGTTGGTTGTTAAGGTTAAGGGTTTGTTGTTAAGGTTATGGGTTTGTTGTGTAGGTTACGGATTTGTTGTTAAGGTTACGGGCTTAATTGTTAAGGTTACGGGTTTAATTGTTAAGGTTATGTGTTTAATTGTTAAGGTTACGGGTTTAAATGTTAAGGTTACGGTTTATTAATTATAAAGGTTACGGTTTAATTGTTAAGGTTACGGATTTAATTGTTAACGTTATGGTTTTAATTGTTAAGGTTACGGGTTTAATTATTACGGTTACAGTTTTAATTGTTAAGGTTACGGGTTTAATTGTTAAGGTTACGGTTTAATTGTTAAGGTTATGGGTTTAATTGTTAATGTTACCGGTTTAATTGTTAATGTTACGGTTTAATTATTAAGGTTACGGGTTTAATTGTTAAGGTTACGAGAGAGAGAGAAGGGATCCATAACATTAACAATTGACCCGTAACCTTAACAATTAAACCCGTAACCTTAACAATTAAACCCGTAACCATAACAATTAAACTCATAACCTTAACAATTAAACCCGTAACCTTAACAATTAAACCATAACATTAACAATTAATAAACCGTAACCGTAACAATTAAATCCGTAACCTTAACAATTAAACACGTAACCTTAACAATTAAACCCGTAACCTTAACAATTAAATCCGTAACCTTAACAATTAAGCCCGTAACCTTAACAACAAATCCGTAACCTATACAACAAACCCATAACCTTAACAATAAACCCGTAACCTTAACAATCAATGCATAACCTTTGCAACCAACCATTATCCTTAACAACGAATATTCTAAAAATACAAAAAGAATAAAAAACGAAAATAATAAAATAATAATTCTCTTTAATCATTTCAATATCATCAAAGAAACATCATGATAGATAGAGAGAGAGAGAGAGAGAGAGAGAGAGAGAATTCATAACCTTAACAATTGACCCGTAACATTAACAATTAATTCGTAACCTTAACAATTAACCCGTAACTTTAACAATCTTCCAATACAAGCAACCAAAATAATATAAAACGAAAATAATAAAATAATCCTCATCAATCATTTTAACTATCATCTTAGTACATCATGATAAAGAGAGAGAGAAAATAAAAATAATAAAATAATCATCATCATATTTTAATAAAGAGAGAGAGAGAGAGAGAGAGAGAGAGAGAGAGAGAGAGAGGATTCATAACATTAACAATTGATCCGTAACATTAACAATTAATTCGTAACCTTAACAATTAACCCGTAACTTTAACAATCTCCCAATACAAACAACCAAAATAATAAAAAACAAAAATAATAAAATAATCCTCATCAATCATTTCAACTATCATCTCAATACTTCATGATAAAGAGAGAGAAAACGAAAATAATAAAATAATGCTCATCATATTTTAATTAAAAAAAAGAGAGAAGGGTATTATGGTCTTCACATATTTTAATGTCTTGGGTTTTGTGTTTTGGGGCTCAGAGAATATAATCTTTATTTTTAAGGGTAAAACACCCGTTAACAAAGACTTGGAGGTGGTAAGCACATTTGGGGGCTGGAAGCATTTTTCCCATAATAGTAAACACCTCCACGCCGGTTCTGTGGCTGGTATACAACAAAGCTGTTACGTATGTAATGATTTCATCAAGTCGGGCCCACAAGTTTGGACCAGCACGTGTCAGCGCTATCATTCATCACGCAGAGCTATAATCTCCTACCAAACCCCTCTAATTTCGAGTCTCTCCTACTAAACTCTCCTCGCTCCAAAACCCCAAATCAAATCCTCCAAAATCCGATAAAAAAAAAAAATGGCCCGCCGAGACCCCAACCGCTTCGGCGATTCGTCGGCATGGCGCGGGAATCGGCCTTACAAATTCTCACGTGCCGTCGGGCCTCACCCCTAAAGCATCATCACCGCCGTCCGGAGCCGCCTCCAATCTTCGAAAAAAAAGCCCAACGCCTTTCATCGCCGCTAACGGCCTTAGATTCCTCCTCCGGTCGCGCCTACGGAAGCTACCGAGGAGGTTTTGGACGATCCCAAGATTGAAGCCGCCTACATTCCGCTCGCCGACGAGCTTGCACGTGCGCGGGGCTTGGCGGCCGCGGAGAAGGGGAAGCCACTGTGCCTGCTTGAGAAGCCGACGCGTTGTGTTGTCTTGTGTAGAATTGGATCGATCCTGAGGTTTGCTGCCCAGCTAATAAGGTTTCAGTTCAAGTTTCATGGATACTACTTGTGGATGCATCATCCGAGGACCGCTAAGATGAAGGAGCTGCTGATGGATCCGACCCGATTCGGACAGCTCAGAACGGTAATTTAGGGGTTCTTTTTTCCTTCTGAAATTAGGAAAATTAGATATATCTATTAGGTAATTTAGTTTATTTTCGTTTTAATTTATATTAAAAAAAAATTCTGTTGAGGTTAGATTGTGAAAATTTATGGTAGGCTATCGTTGACTGGAGGAATGTTGATAAACGGGAGCAGATGAAGGATTAAGAAAGAAGAAAAGAGATGATAATTTAAGGTGCTATTATTCTTATTTAGAATATAAGTTGTTTCTTTTGACCGAATTGGGATCGGGAGTGGAGAGATTGAGGATGATTATGTCCTCAATGATAAGCAACATGATATAATTGATAAATTTGATCAGATAGAAAGCTAAAGATTCTGATAGTTTGTTGTGCTCTCTAGTTTTAATCTCGGATCTCTTAAAGTTTAAGTTGGAGCTAATGAGTTATAGTAACACGGAGGTTTGGACGTAATTAAACAATTAAAAAAATGATTACTTTTTTGTGCATCCCCCCTAATTATATGATATAAACCCATGAAATGTTTGGGTTGTTGTTCAGATGATGTTGATAAAAGCACTTGTCTTTAGATGGTGGCATGCAATTTTACAAAGGAAATAAAGTGGTGAACAGAGTGAAGTGTATGCTCAGTGTGCCCTCACGACTAACAAAAAGCACTGAGGAGGCATAAGTGTTGTTGACACCTCTTGATTTATTTAGCAGTGTGATTTTTGCGAGTATTTTTTATGTGTGGGAAGGTGAAAGGCAGCCCAGGATATATGACATTGGGAAACTAAGTATTAAATTAGAGAGTAATATCATCCGTGTTGTGTGCCCTGTGCTGGGAATTTTTTTAGGTCATATTATAATGCTAAAAATGAATGTCGGTGACCAACCAATTTGTGTGGGTTTTATGGAATTCAATCTCTCAAGTAATCACGATCCTACCAGTTCTATTCTCTATTTTTTGCTGCTCTTTTAACAATATATGCTCCCTTGATCTAGGTTTTGGCTCCATGTTTTAGTCAGTATAATGAGGTAAATCTAGGTGAGTGCATGAGAATGGTTTCTTTCGTAAATATTCTGCTGCATTTAATTAGTCTTAATAGGGGGATTTATGAATTAAATATTTTAT